ATTTTTTTAAAAATAACATTAATATGAGAATTAATGTTAGGATTGCAGTTTTATTTTTAATTGAACTTTGCTGCTAGTTGTGAATCCATATCGACTTCCTAAAATAATGACTTGTGAAGGAGTGTGTGCATCTGTGTGTGTGTGTGTGTGTGTGTGTGTGTTTCAGGGATTTTAACTGGGTTAAGAATGTGGAATGAATTACCGAGAACTGAATGCATAATTGCATTAATAAAAATAAAAAGGCAAAGCAAAATAATTTAATACCAGTCTCTTGTGTGTAAAATGCACAGGTGACTGTACATTTTACACGGTTACCTGTGTAAAATGCTAAAGGCGGGGCTTTAAGCTTTGTCCTTAAAGCCACGCCTTTAAGGACAAATGTTCTCCTTCAGACTAGCCAGCAGCAATCAGCAAACATCTAGTGGATCTGCACACCAGCTGAGCTTGTCATAAGAGCGACTTTTAAAAGCCGGTAAAAACTCTGTTGAAGGGTTAATAGAGGAGTCATGCGGAGATGACTTCCTGGAGGCGGAGTTTCAGAAAGAGCAGGTGTCTCTTAAAGGGACAAAGACACAATTTCAAGGTGGTGAATTGTGCAGTCAAATTTCTTTCAAGTCATATTTGATATCAATAGCGTTTTCCTAACAGCTGGAGGTGACACAGTTAGCTGATTGTGCTGTTATGGAGACTTTGGTGTGACTCATTGGAGGTGTTCTTCAGGAACGCCCATATTTTCGCTCCATCACCTCCTCCTCTTCTTCAGCTGAGAGGAGGATACAGCAGATAGCTGCAGCGAGGAGGAGAACGGAGGAGAAAAAAGGGGGCGAGGCAGAGGGGGTGGAGGTGTGTGTGTGTGTGTGTGTGTGTGTGTGTGTGTGTGGTGTGTAGGGGGGGTCTGGGTGTGTGGAAAGCAGCCACTGCAGCAAACACCTCTGAAACAGAAACAGCCATTTAGCGGCGAAAACAAGCTCCCCTCACAAGACGCCCATGAATGGGCCACTTCAGCCGGCCGAGGAAGTTCCATCGAGGGGCAGGATGTTCTCCTCAGGACGCTCTTGAGGCGGGACGCGGGCCAGAAAGTATGCTTACATAGACCCGTCTCTCTCTCTCTCTCTCTCCTGTCACCATCCAGCTTTGCCCTCCTTCTCTGGCCGAGTAGAAAAGAAGGAAGAGAGAGAAAGAGAAAAGGAACAAACTCTCCCCGGCCCGCTTCGCCCTCTCCATCCCCTCCTGCAGAGCCGCAGCCAGCGAGGCGGCGGTGGAGGGCGTGGAGCTGCGCTCAGCAAACAAAGGCAGAGAGGCAAAGGCTCTCTGTGATTAAAGAGCAGTTAAGATGCTATGAGAGACTAATTTGTTCTCTGTGTGACTGAGAACAAAACAAAATCTGGGGCTTAACGCTTCCTGCAGCAGCTTAAAGCGAAACGCTGCAACTAGACTCCTTTCTCTTTCTAAATCCTTCACACAAACTGCAATGTGGTAACGATTTCTTTATCCGTCCTACATGCTTTTTAGATCAACGCACACACACACACACACACACACACACACACACACACACACACACACACACACACACACACACACACACACACACACACACACACACACACACACACTGCATCGCGGAGACTGCAGCAGTCGGTCAGGGGTGAGTTGGTCTGCAGCCGGGCGAGTTTAGGAAGTAACATCCAGAGATGTGAAAGTGTCACAGAACTCTGGATCATCAGCTGCCTGAACGGTTCAGATGAAAGCATGAACATGTTCACGAATGAAGAAAAGATTTGAGGCGGAGGCTCACCGTCCGGCTGTCTGACCCGACAATATTTCAGCTGTGATTTTCTTTATTGCCACCATCAGGCTGCAGTTTTCACCACCAGCATGTCTTCTGTTTGTTATTCCACCACGTCTGCCACATATTTTCAGAGATATGTCTCTCTCTTTTTTTTGTAACACAGCCACTAACAGTTAAACAAGAATAAAACAAATATATGTAAAAATCTTAATCTTGGAAGCACAAAACATCAAAAATGAGGACAGAGTGTAAAAATAAGAGGTATGAGACAATCTAGTGTTACATATTGAGATATGTCTGCAGTTCTGTCATATTCAATAAATTAAAACATACATCTCAAATTGTCTCTTTTGTCAGATTAAAACTTTAATTATAAAGCAGGTATTACATACATTTTTATTAAACTCCTGTTTCTGTTTGTAATGATATTTTTTTGTTTTTTTACTGGTGATGCAATATTTTCATTTCAAATATTATAAGTGAAAAATCATCAGAATAAAAAAATAAATAAACGAAAAAGCTTTCAAACGTTTGTATGTTTAGCTGATCGATATGATGTTTCACTTAGTGACCAAGTTGCTCAAAGAAATTGAATTTTAAATAATTTTCCAATTTATTGAATGGGACAGATATGGCACATTCAGAAATACTGACATATTTTATAAATCTCTGATTTACACTCATTAGGGACACAGTTATGCTAGCCATGCTAACCCTGTCAGTCGCTAATAAAATCAGCTAAGGACTGTTTCAAACGTTAATTCTGTTTTTATTTAGTCTTTGCTTTTGCATAATTATTGCTCCTCATCTAAATAATTACAAGCCACTCACCGCAGGGACTCTAGAAAAGCAATTTAGCTTACATGTAAATTCTTAAGCACAAATCAAATCTCGCTGGCATTACTACCGGCAGGACAGAGTTTCACAAATAGCATCTTCGGTCGCTACGGCAACATGGTTCATACAAAGACAACCATCTTCAATCGGGACATAAACGTAAAAACCCAATAAATGAATCAACGCATGATGAACGTGCGGCGCTGCTGAGTTCATGTTTTCAGTCTGGTGGAAAAACGTTCGGAGTCATTTTCTGTTCTCCTCACTGCAGCAAAGTCTTTGACCCAGGAATTTGTCACATCCTTTTGTTCTTTCATGTTTTTTTCATCCATTCTTCTTTTGTCATTCTGAATGCAAAATCTAAACACAGCATGCTGTGAATACTTCCCTTCCGCTCCCAACAAAAACACAGGCCTTGCCGCCATCTGCTTAAACCAACAGTTTGTGAAAAAACACATCATGTTGCGACACGACCGAGACACAACAAGCAGGAACCCACCGACTAACATTTGCTCTCTGCGGTGCTTTTGGTTCCAGCTCATTTCGAAATTCCTCCAAACTTCAGGATCGCAACGTTTTCCAGAGTTTTTGTTTCGTTTCCAAGGGAGCAGTCAAAGTTTGCCTCTGCAAATCGGCAGTGACAGAAAACGGGGCTGACAGAAGGTTCTGTTGTAACGTGTTTGTTCAGAACCGGCTCTGACAGCAGAGTTTGTCAGAGGGAGACTCAGAGATGTTGTGAAGTGGTTCCTTTTTATATTTGCTGCTCTCCCATGTGGGGGAAACGTCAGCCCCAGAGGGGCTGCTGTGGTGCTGGAATGTTGCATCGTGAGAAAAGGACGAAGACTGAAGCAAACAAGCTGTGAGCGCAGACAGAATAATCAAATAATGCCAGTGAGTTTCACCTCTCTGGGTCAGAAACACTGAACACGAGAGAAACCAGGTTTCAAACTACAGACCAACCCAAACCTGACTACTGGAAACCACTAAACCTTTTTCCTGTCATTTACTCACTGGAGGCGCCATGATGGATGTCGGAATCGAGAGATGGGAGAATTGAACGGAGCGACTGAAATTGTTTTCCCAAGTTGTTTTCTTCCTCTTGTTCTAGTCGAACATCACGCCTGGTCGCGACTCGCAGGCGGCCGCATTCACCAAACTTTGAAACAGCCGGTTTAGAAAGCGACCCGCACCTCCTGCCTCCCGACCCGGTCATCAAATGACCGGCTTTACCTAAATTCACGCCACATCATTTACATCACTGCGTCTTAAACTGAGGCAACTTTAAAACACATGAATTATGGCAGGAAAATCCCCCCATAGACAGGAAGCTCACCGGTTTTTACCCAGCATGCCCGGCTACATACTGGCAGGCCACTGTTTTCGTGGTTACTGATGGTGAGATGGGTACTTTCACCATAATGTGACATTTGATATATTTGACGCTTACTTATAAAGTACATGGACATTAATCTTCTTTCCGTGTAACGAGTTCGCCGCAAATCCGCCATGATGCTGAAGGCTTCTGTCCATCGCTGCCATCTTTCCTCATCAAAGCTTATTAACAAAATGACAAGTTTGGTTTCTATCCTCGTCTGCTTGTGCAGCCGACCGCGCAGCCGACCACGCAGCCGACCGCGCAGCCGACCGCGCAGCAACTTATGACCATTTTTTTTAAAATGAAAGGAACCAGATAAAATGAACAGCTGGTGATTTTACAGGAGGCCTCCGTCATGGCAGAGCGGGTGGAGTCGTGTGCAAAGGGTCAATACGAAATAAAGAAAGAGCTGCGTGAAAACTGACAGTAAAGAGTCAAAAAAAAAAAAAAAAACTTCCAGATTTTTCTGATTATGTGGCTGAACAACAACATAGGAGGAATAAATCAGTGAGAGCAGAGATCACAGAGCTCTGGGCTCTGTTTGTCCAAAAGGAATGAGAAGCTGTTGATTTTTATTTCTTTCTTTTATTTTGTTTGAAGCATTTATACTAAAAAAAACAAACCAAAACAAAACGTCCAACTTTGCCACATAAGAGGCTCGTGGCAGAAAGCGATGTTTTTCATAAAGGGAGTGTTTGGAGTTTGAAATGCGTCTCTATTATGAGCAGCGGCCGTCTCCCCAGACCTGATTTTTATTTTATTTAATATTTTTTAAAACTTTGGGAACAGTCTGACGTGTTTTAGATGTCAAGAGAGTTCATACGGTTAAGATACTGACTGCTGGTAGCTCTCCAGGGAACCCCTCTTGAAAAAGACTTCAGCAAATGAAGTTTAAACAATCCTTCTGAAACGTTTGACTTTGACTGTCGACCAGAGCGTCCGGACTACTTCAAAGGGTTAAAGCATTTCTCCAGAATGAATGCCATGACGACGAGACAGAGGGAAAATATTCTTTTAATTTCATTTTAATGCAGAGAAAACAGCGTAAGTCACACAAAGTACCTTTGATATGTAATGAAATGCATTTATTTCCGATTCTGCTGCATAAATAAAACTATGTATTTGGAGTCAGTTCTAATATTAGTAAGCTATGTTAATTCATTTTCATTAAACAAAAAAAACAAACTAAACGAAACAAAACAAAAAAAAATAAAAATAGAGAGTGAGGCAATACTTTAAATTTGCTACCAGAACAGAAAAAAATAAAAATAAATCAATTTCAATAGAGACCGAACAAAGAGAAGAAGGGCATTCAAAGATAAAAAAAAAAAAAAAAAAAAAACTAAACCAGAAGAAAAGCTTTTTAAGGACCAAACAAAGTTCCGACTCTACATCACAATTCTCCTCTTCTGGCTCTTAATAAAAACACTGAGAAGCAAACAGCTCTGAATAAAATACTCTCACCATAGGGAAAGCTTTTACCCAACATGGAAGAATAAATAAGAACAAAACACCACCTGTTTCATTATATCCATCCGTTCTTTACAGAAGTGCTTTTCTTTTGTCTGTTTGGCTCACTTAATAATATTAATAACATCAGTGAACAAAGCAGGTCAATTAGCCCTAGAATGGATGCTTTAAGATCGACATTTTTCAAACACTTGAATTTTTTTTTTAAACGCGATTATACATTCATAATGTGATTAAGAAAAAAAAAACACACACAAAAAAATCAATCAATCCCCTTTTGTTAAATCATGTAATCGAGGCACGACTGTGATAAGAACATGAAAAGCATCTCCCACAAAAGCTTTCACTGAACTGTTTTTTTTTCCTGACTGAATTTTGGTGCCAATAGCAAAAAAAAAAAAATCAAAGCAATTTGGACATCGTAGCAAAAAATTATAGTCCCCGATTTGTGTTTTTATTTTAAGTCCTTCAAATATAAAAACGACTTAAGGAAGTTCTGGCGCCGACCTGCTGGTGAGTCCAGCCGGTTTCTGGTTGCACAGCAACACGTTTCCCACCGGTTCCACTTCGCAGCGAGGAAATCTGTGAACCCTTCAATGCCGCGTGAATGTTCTTTCCCTTCTGTGACTTTGCGAACGTTTCAGACTGAATGCTTTTTTTGAGGGATCAGTTAGAAAATAAAACAGAGAAACAAACCAAAACAAACGAGAGAGAAAGCCATTTTGTGATTCTCTTCCTAATACTTCTGGCCAGCTTCATTCGCCGGCGCAGGATTTGGTTCAGAGATCGGATAAAGTCGGGCTTTTAAGACTAAATTTGGCACTTTTCGCAGCACGATCCAAAGACAGACACAAAACACACGTTTGATTTTACAGCTGTGTGGTCGGAGTCACACAACAAGCCTTCATTTCATTCAGTAATAATGACACTATAGAGAGACGAAAAATGGGCAGTTTTTGCTCCATCAGCGAGAAAACAAAACAAAACATTTATTTACCCCCTCAGCTAAACCTTTACCAGTGAGTATTAGCAGCGTTGACCTTATGACCTTTGAATGTTCTGTGATTATAACCCTGCGAGGCACATTTTAAATTAAAAATAGATTTATGAAATTGCACTCACTGGAACTTGAATGCTTTTAAGGGCTTTGACTGCATCCGAGCAGGACCACACTGAACGAAAACCTTTTGGAAGAATTGTAGATCACATGAATATTTTCTGGTTATTGCTGTAGGAAACAGAATCATGCAAACCATGTCAGTCACTGTGTTTGAGTAAACTACATAGAACATCAACAGACATTCTATGTAAAGAAGTTGTGTGGCCAGAGGCTAGCTGACAGCTAGCCCTGTTAGCTAAACAGGATTAGCTAAAGAACGTCGGTGAGCAAACAGATTTGGCTATACAGGTTTAGCTAATGGGTTAGCCAAACCTATTTAACTAACCCTTAAAAAGGCAAACAAAGTCATCTATTTATTTTAGAGATGCACCAATCGTCTGCCATAAAACCAATTTTAGACATTTAAACTTCCACTTTAGACCAACTGCACATCAATTTCTGTTTCACAATTGTTTGTAGCTCTTCAAGTGTGATTTAGCTCCATTCAGCATTGGCAGGTAAAGGTTATGAAACAAAACAGGACTGGAAATTGGGCCAAAACATTCTGATTGGTGCATCTCTAATTCCTTTGTCCTTTAAAAACAGATTGAGGTTGCCAGAAGGCTCTTGTGTTTCACAGCTTGGAGTAAAAAGAAAGCAAGCCTGCTGTAAATGCTAACATTTTCCATAGTGTACGTATGTTGGGTTTTGGGAGAGTTTTTAAGGCCTAGTCCACATGTAGCCAGATAGTCCACATGTAGCCAGATAGTCCACATGTAGCCAGATAGTCCACATGTAGCCAGATAGTCCACATGTAGCCAGATAGTCCACATGTAGCCAGATAGTCCACATGTAGCCAGATAGTTTGGAAAACTAATATATTTCCAAAACGTTTTGGCCTCCCATCCACACACAGACTCAGGTTCATATCACTCAAAATAATTTAAGAACTCAGACCAGGTCAGATTTGACAAGACAAGAAGCATATGGGAAAACGAGAATTTGGGGCTCCATGAATTACAGACTGTGACAAACGTCCACATATTTGTTCTGATATGATTCCCAATCGACAACTAATTTAAAACTAGTACAACCTTCTCGCCTGGTAACACAAATGAACGTCCTGACGCCACGTTCAATTCCAAACAGGAAGTAGTGGTCGTTTTGAAGCAATCTGATTGGCTGATATAGCTTTGAGCTACGCTGCCCCCTATGGGTTTGGCATAATGAAAACAACTTTCAGTGGCGTTTATGTGCAGGTTTTCTGAAAACAATCCTGATTGTACAGTTTTTTAAAATTGGTTTTCATAAAACACCAGGCTACGTGTGGACAAGGCGTAAAACTCTGATCACATCTTTCTTTAACACATATCAACTTGATGGAATCTTCAGTGAGTGTTTTTGCCAGGTCAGATTTACATACTTTTCAAAGTCATATTCATGCTTTAAAACTGCAGGATTGACAGAAGGTGCACTTTATTTTGAGAATGACGGTCTGTGTGAAAGGTCGAAGTGATGCGCTGCTATTTCTTGCCCAGCAAGAGTTCATCATTCTTTCCTTAGTGCAAATGCCAACATGTGAAACCAGAAGCAGAACTCGGCAGAACCCGGCAGCACCTCCGGGTGGCGCTCCGGAGTCAAAGGTCAACGTCTGGCTGTCGCACTACACTCGCTCTCAGAAACGTCGTCTCCTGCCATACATTCTCTTTTCTCTGTTTCGGACAGGAAACAAACCAACGAAAAAAAAAAAAAAAAAAAGGTGGATCAAAAAAAAAAAAAAAAAGAAAACGTCTGCCAGTTTGTGACAAAATCATTTCTGTTGCAAAATAAGTTACAAAAAGTCGAAATAAAAATCTTTGTGTACAGTACTAAAATACCTAAACCTAGAAGTTTTCAAACTTAAGAACCGCATGTTAAGTCTATAAATACCTTTACAAATATACATGTTAATTATTCAAATAAAACTTTTCTCTGCAACACCCCAAAAAAAAAAGAAAAAAAAAAGTAAATGTTTTAACGCATAGACAGTGTCTTCCATCCTCAAATAAACTTTTTTTTTTAAATGTATTTTTTTTTCTGATTTTGTCTTTTACATACATGGCTGTGGACAGCGATATGATACATATTTGCATTTATATATTTACAATAAATCACTTTCTAGATATAGAAAAAAAACCTAAAACGTCCTCCAAGTGGCGCTGTTCTTATTACTGAAAGGGCCTGAAATCCGCCTCACGTCATCAGGAATTTTGTTTGGAGACGATTAAAAAATCCCCCCCCAAAAAAACAAAACAAAACAAAAAAAAAACTGTTCTTAGGATGAAAAAAAAAACCCAAAACGTTAACACTGAGGAAACCCGCTGCGGCCTCTCACAGCTTCTCCTCTGAGTTCTGCTGGAAACGTCTTCCTGGACTGCGTTCATGCGGGAGCGTTCTGTTGTGATCTGTACAGATCTAGAGGAGATAGAGCCGCGTCACTACTTGGTCGCCTTCAAAATGCCCTTCACGTCCTCCGCGTACGACTTCTGAATTCAGTCCCAGGATGTTTAGATCCCAGGAGGCACGGAATGGTTTCACCACACCACTGTTTGTAGCAAAAGACTGGCCAGAGTATAAAAATAGAATTTCATTCCTGAAAAGAACGCAAACAGCCAAAAACAAAAAGAAAATCCTTCAATGTTCAAAGTGTCTCTTGGGGGGGAAATCGGAGGAAAAAAGCCTGGCGGGTTTAAGACGAGCTGCAGGAGTATTGCGTGAAGTCTTAATTTCCATATCTTGAGGAGTCTTGATTCGCTGAGAGGTGATTATATGTCACAGAGTGTGAGCGGAGGTCACGACCTCCGCTGGCCGGGCTCTTATGTCCGTATGACGGCGTTGCTGGGAGGCTGTTTGGGAAGACAGGGCTCGTCGGGCAGCGGGTCGTGGGCGAACACGGAGTCGTCTCCGGAGGAGCAGGTGCTGTTGGAGTCCTGGCAGGTCGGGGAGTACTGCTCGAACGGCACCGACAGGTCCAGGTACTCCTGTCAGAGGAAGGGTCAAAGGTTACCTGTGATCAGCCGTCTCTTCTGAGCTCACATAGATACAGGAATATCACATTCTATGTGAAGAGAACCGCTCAGATTTCCACACATCTGGACTCCAGTCACACCATTCGCTCAAGTTGAAATGAAGAAAATAAATGGAAAAACGTCAATTAAAAAAAATAATAAAAAATTCATGTTTTTGAATAGGAAGCTTTTATGCTCAAAAGAAGTGGCTTTTCAGCTGTGTAAAAATAGGTGTACTTTGCAAAAGCTGCAAAATACACATCACATGAGTCACATGATCATCACTGGCAGAAACAACAAAGACGAAGACAGGAAGTAGCAGGTGGATGATGGTTTGTTTTGGGGGGTTTTTTGGACAATGTGCAACAGTGTTTTTTATTTTATTGTATTTTTCTCACCAACAGTTTGAACAAAATTGAAGCATTTTTAAGCCAATATAACAACAGAGTACGGGAAACAATTAGTGCCACTAATTCTGTCCTTCATGTCAAAACTTTATTGTGAGAATTCTGATATTTTTCTGAGAACTGAATGTATGAAAGAATGTGAAAGTCATCCTGTCCCAGAGAGTTAGTTCTCCTCCTGCACAACTCCAATCTCTGTACCCAAGGCTGATTGATCCCAGTTTACCACCTGCTTTAATGCCTGGATTCTGAGATTAAACTGGGAATTCTGGAAATAAAATACAAACTTGGGATGCAAAGACTGGGGTCATAATTCTGAGATTAAATTTGAATTTTTTTAGATAAAAGTCAAAGACATAATTCTGTGAGTAAACTTTTAATTCTGAAAAAAAAAAAAAAAACCTGAACTAGTTTGTTTAGCAGAACAGAACTGATCTCTTCAAAACCAAATGCAATCGTGGAGCCATTTTTACAGCTGACCGCTCATGCCATAAACCTCAACATTACCAACATCACCACAAAAAAAACCCATCAGTTTGACTCACATCAGTGGAGGTTATGGACAGAATCCGGTCCAGGTCTTCCACCAGCTGTCTGAAGGTGGGCCTCTGAGACGGGACGGCGTGCCAGCACTCCCTCATGATCATGTACCTGAAAGGTCAAAGGTCAGAGCCAGCCACATCCCGTTACTCTGCAGCCAATCAATCCAAGTTACCCAAAACGCAAACATCCATTGGTCTGGACTAAACGGATCCAGAGTGAGGGTGTGACCGTCGTTGGTTCACTTACAGCTCATGCGTGCAGTTGGCAGGTTTGTCCATCCGGTGTCCTTCTTTCAACAGCTTGAAGAGTTCCTCCACTGGGATCCCCGGGTATGGCGACCCTCCCAGGGTGAAGATCTCCCATAACAAAACCCCATAAGACCACCTGAACAAAAACACACAAACAAAAACAAAACACTGATCAGAGGTTGTGTTATCAGATTATTAAAACAACACAGCGGGGCGGAAATGTTTTTTATCAAACTCTCTTCAAAGTAATGCAGCGCTACCCCTCCCCCGCCTGTTGCCGTCAAGCTTCCTCACAGACATGAGATAAATTCAGCTGTTAGGAAATTTGATCGGCTCAGGAAACGCATGAAATGCGACAAACCAAAACACACCCACAAAGGGAAACAAGACAGAAATAAGTATTACTTATTCATAACTCAAGTTTTACTTATTGGACCAAATACCAACGTGTTAAAAATAGATGATCATTGGTCATGCTGTTAGCGGAAACAGTCAAAGCTCACAAAAAAACAAAACAGCTTTTCTTTCTCCGTGTGTTTTATGGCGATTAGTAATAATCCTAAATAATAATAACTCAGTTTGGTACTCTAGTTAGTTCTGGCAGCATTTGTGAATGTGCAAAAAATAACTTGGAAAAAAAAAAAGGAATCAAACAGATGAGAACATAAAACCCAAGATAGTTTGTGTTTGTCCCGTTCTCCAGCCTGAGCCCAACACAGAAACTGATAGTTACAAAAATAAAGTCATTCTCTAGTAAACCCAGAATACAGCAGGTTCAAGAGTTTTTCCTCTAAAGTCTTCTGCATATAAAATACTAATCAACAAAAACTCATTAAGTCAGTGATCTAGTAGCTGACATTACAGATTCACACAGTGAAAATGGGTCGCTTTCCAGCTGTGAACTGATGTATATTTCCACCCAGAGTTTTCTGCCATATTTTGTTTTTAATATGCTATATCATCTGATTCTAAAAGAGGATCAGAGACTTCCTGCCAGGAACCAAACCTGACCTGGACTCTACTGTGAAGAGGAGAGTGTGTATCGACAGCCTGAACATTTCCATCCCAGCTGCAGTTCAAACCAAGCCATCATCTCACTCCCTTTCTCTCTCTGTGGCAGCAGCTTCAGAAAACTGCTGATTCACTCCGAAATGGTTAAAAAAAAAAAACTGAAAACAGAGGAGGGAGGTGGGGGTGGAGGTCGTCACATAATGGGCAGTCAATTAACCGGGTGTAGCATTGTTGAACGATTCATCCTGTGAATCACAATAAGACCCGTCCTCACTTTAATCTACTTATCTACGCTCCGATCTGCAGGGCGGAGAACAGCCGAGCAGACTGGCCCACCTCCTGAATGAATAAAACATCCAGAAAATGGCTTCCACCGACCCCATCTGTGGGTCTTATATCGCTCTTCTCTCAATTTTCGTCCATTTCTTCAGTTTCAGTTGAATTTTAAAACCGCGGCCACTTTCAAGAGCTTCTTATTTTTTATTTTCCAATTCGTTCCAGTCGGAATCAGTCAAAATCGTCACGTCAAGAAGTAAGGACTGGAAAAGTTCATCTCAAACATGTTCAGCAGCTGCATTTCGACTGACCAAAAATTACCATAAACAGCAATTTGGATAGAAGGATTGTGAGCTTGAATGATTTAGTTTTTCAGTTGTATCAATGAGTCTATTTCACAAAAGTGCAATGGAAACTTTTTCCACATCAAATGAGTCACATGATCAACAGCTGGATGTGATTGCAGGCGGAAACGTCGAAGAAGACGACAGGACAGTGATGCGTCATGTTTTTCAATTATTGCGTAGAAAAAAACATTCTGGTGTTATTTTAATGGTGCGTATTATTTGAGGGAACTGCAGCAGTTGCGAAATTGTGTTTTTACCATTGAAATACTGACAAAGTTTTGTGATGGACACAAATAGATCGTAATTATTTTAATTTCATATGCTTTGCAGATGGTGCCTTTTTTAAAAAAAATGAATTTTAAGAAATATTTTCAATCAGCGGTTTAAAACCAGTAACAATGCAGGCATAAAATCATGGACCTCCTTTAGAAATATGTGGATGCTGAGGACATCTACGCTAGCTGCCACATGTTAGCATTGAGATGCTAGTTTAGCCTTGAATAGCTAACTCCTTTTAGCCTATCAGCAACTTGAACATAACCATAGTCCAGCATCCAATCAGATTATTTTTTGAGGCAGAAATTAAATGAAGCCCAATGGGTTTTGTTGTCCATCGCTGTCAACTGAAAGTCACTTGTGTGTCAGATTTGCAACCGTACCAGAAACGCACGAATAGAGAAGTTCCACTTTGAACCTTTGTACGTAGAAAACAAGAAAAAGCAAATAATTACATTTAAATTTGTCTATAATGAATTGAAATCAATGTGTTAAAGTTTTGATTGTTATTTCTGGGAATCAGCAGGTCGAAGAGTCACAAAAACTGGAGATCAGCCACAAATCTCCAACTGACGGATCTCTGAGTAAAATAATTACTTTCATGGGACTAATAGTGGGAAGAGCTTTCCAACGATTAAGCATCTTTATCTTGACTTAAAGTCTTACATTTAATACAAGCTCATATAAAACATCCTGCTGAGAGCGCGCAGCAGTGAAAACTGAAATATGACTAATCATTTTGCAACTGTGACCATGCCGATCATTTGCTCTCTACAGTTTGGAGTTTTTGACAGCTTAATTTGAATGTTTAGAACCGTCGCCCTATCAGACCGAAAGCCAAACAGTGGAAGGCCCTCCGCGGTGTGAAGGGGATAAACTGGCTCAAAGTGACTACTGTATAAAGGCAGGCGAAGATTTGGAGTCTGTAATCCAGAACTGCTGAAATAACAGAGCAGGCCGGTTCTCCCCTCGGCCCGTTCCCAGTCTGCAGTGATCACACAGCCCGGCAGCGCTGACAGGGGCCCCTGTTTGGCTTGGACGGCTGTGCTGGGGACACAGCGTCTGGCTGTGTCTGGCTGGGGGAAAGGCTGCTGGAACTACTGCAAGATACATCACCTTGGTGACCTCCACGTCTGACAGGGCCGCCGGCTTTAGATCAGAGGCGGCACAAACACAGCCGGACGGGGAGAAAGGTGTGTATGTGTGAGAGAAACACACAACCCGAGGAAACACCTCGGCTTTCTTATCTCGGATTGAGCCTCTTAAAATAACATTAACCATAGAACTGCACAACTTGAAAATATAAAAGTAAATTTGTTTCATGGAAATACAGAAATTTGGTGGTCAGCGCTAGGATGAGGTGGGTTTTCATCTGTATTGAAATGGATGCATTTTGCAAAACTGCAGTGGAAAGTCTTTATTCACATCGCACGAGTCACACAATCAACAACCGGATGTTGCTACTGGAGGAAACGGTGAAGACGACGACAGAAAGTAGTGGGAGGATGATGGCACAGGAAGTGACTTATCACCTGAACCAACTTATTCATGTGAAATTTTAATAGTTTCTTATTTAATGGAAACACCGCATTGCAAATTTGTGTGTCATGAATCAAATGATCAACAGCCAGATGTGACTGCTGGTGGAAACGACAAAGAAGAAGACAGGAAGTGGTAGGAGGATGATGGTGCACCTGGCTCCACCAGAGCTCTCACAGCCTCACAGTTCATAAAAAGTTGTGTGTTAGTCCAACATGCCCTACAATTTGCCCCAAACTATTTCCCCTAAATATAATGAGCTTGTCGCTTCAATCTGTTTATATCTGTACTGCCATGAATGTCAATGATTTATTGTGTGAACAACCTTATTCACATACGATTTTAATTTCATTTATTTAGTAGAAACATCGTAATTGCAAATCGACTAAGATTTGCACAAATGGAAACGGAGGTAACAAGATGCTGGGACTCCAGTGTCGTATTGGGACGTTAGGAACAAACTCCACCAGAAAAGATTCCCAATTGAGGGCCGGTTGGCAGCATACTGGAGATATTTGGCGCGGGAACCCATCGGTTCTGCGCTTGACACTAATGAGCTCAGTCACCACATTTCAACAGCCGCATTCCTCCGCTGTACACATCAGCGGACAGCCGGCATGAGACGGTCAGCTTGCGGAAACTCACACGTCGCTCTGGTGCGTGTAGACCCGGTCGAACAGAGCCTCCGGAGCCATCCATTTCACGGGCAGACGACCCTGGAGCAAAACAAGTACAACAGAACCACTTTGGTCAGCAGAACTATTCTGTACGGATCAGACAGGAAAAACTCAGCGCTATTACACAATGTTTAACCATCTCCTGCCTCCACTACGCGCTCCATCACAGTCAGAGCAGCACAGTGGAGACAGTCAGCAGCATGTATTTAAATTCAGATTGTAGTGATTTGCTGATTTCATATACATGTATATATATTTGCAGATATACTGTATATGCGTGTATTAAGAACAGTAATGCAAGATACTGTTCTTGTATTATAAATACAAAAACAGAGCAGAAATGCATATAAGCTTCTAAATGAAATGAGACCAAACATGAAATATTTAGGATTTATTGCTGCGATTAAATAAAAAAGCAAACACGTAACATAAATGCACATTTTCCTTACTGTCCTGAGTTTTTTTCCGACATTTCAGATAAAGTACCAATGTCATGAAACTCACATTTGTGGTCTTTTTGTAGTAGTCTATGTTGTGCACGTCTCTGGCGAGTCCGAAGTCGGCTATTTTCATGACGTTGTCCTCCGTCACCAGAACGTTTCTGGCTGCCAGATCTCTGTGGATACACTGCAGGGGGAAAACGTGACAAACTCGAATTAGCTTTACATACAGGCATGTGGATAATTAAGATTTTTGTTGAAAGTTGACCAAGCAGTGTGAATTTAAATGGAGAAGAAATAAGTTTTTCATTTTCTAAAAAATGAAGGTTTTGGGAATATGAGATTCCTGTTTGACAGCAAAACCTTTTCCACTCTGGTCTGTCATGAAGAGATTGGAGTTAATCTTCAAGTTAAGGTAAAGATCAACCTGTGCAAATCGCTAATATAAGGCAACGTTCAATGTAGTGTCGAGCAAGCTTGGATTTATTTGTTGAAATCGAAGTTTTTGCTTAATTGTTCATGCTGCTAACTAAATGTGACTGCAGTCAGAATTCTGTGTGAACGGTTTAAGACCCACATGTGTAGAAGAACGTAGACATAACAGAGCAGAGCATTGTTTACAGCAGTAATAGACACAAACGTCTCCCAAATTCATAATTCTGATTTTCAGCCATTGTTCATGTCTGGATTGGCAGCTTCTGGTGCAGAATTTTGATGCATGTCTCGCATCAACGGTTGGATGAAATGCGACATGATTGTCCTAACTGCAGAAAACTATCGGATAAATATTCAAATTAGTATGGAAGAGGGACAATCTGGATTTATTTTATGGTCAAAGAGATCAGCATCAAGTCATTCAGTCTGCCATGAAAAACCTGGATATGGGTCTGCTGTGTGAACCTAGTCTAATGAACCGCAAACTGTTTAAAATGTCATTCAACCTTCATTTTTTGCAACATTTTTTGTATCTTGGTTACAAAATCTTTGATCAGTGCATCTTTACTTCATGCCTTTAAGAGAAAATACTAAATCATTAAAAGTCTAAACCTTTTCCTTGTAATTATTTCAAACAATTTCAATTCTAATCACTTCACTGCTATAAAACAAAAACTCGTACATTTACAAAAGGAGATATAGAATGTATCTTTTTATCTGTCTATCTGTATCCTTGTATATTTAGGCTTTAGGAGACGAGACCTTCTGTGAAGCCAGGTACTCCATGCCTCGGGCGACCTGATAGGCGCAGGACACCAGGTCTTTAAAGGTGAGCTGCTCATCAGGGATTTTGCAGGTGTCAAAGGAATAATCCATGCCTGGAGGACGGCGCGCCCGGAGGTACTCCCTCAGGTTCCCTTTGGAGGCGTACTCCACCAGGACGTACAGAGGACCTGGTGAGACAGAGAACATTGCTTTAAAGATTCATCTTGGTTCTCCTTTAATCTTCTGTTCCTCCTCTGAGGCTCACCGTCCTGAGTGCATGCGCCCAGCAGGTTGATGATGTTTTTGTGTTTGCCTATCATCTTCATCATCTCCATCTCTGACACCAAGTCTGACAGATCTTTATCTGTTGCATCGTCTGGGGGGGGGGAGGCAAAGCTAAATCAGAAACGGTGCTGTTTTCTTTGAGATTATTAGAAGAGGGAGACTGTAATGTGGATAACCTTTCAGCATCTTCACAGCGACGGTGAGAGGCTTGTTGGGCTTCTCCTTGTCAATGCCGACTGCCTCCGCCATGACGACCTGACCGAAGCAGCCCTCTCCCAGAGGTTTACCCAGGGTTAGCCTGAAAACAAACACGCTTTTAATCTTTAGACTCTCCACTATGGCGGGTGTTAGGAAAACTGATGTCGAGGTTGTAACGTGACAAAATATCAAGAAGTTCAAGGCGTCTGAATCGTCTCACGGTCACTGTTTGTGTGGACTGCTCCTCTCTTACCGTGTGCGAGGAAACTCCCATTTGGGGTCAGAGGGCAGCTCCAGCTCTGAGACGTTGGCCAGCATGGGCCCGTCGCTGGACGACAGCCGAGCAATCCGAACCAGAGGCGTGTTGGAGTTCATGGAGGAGTTAGAATCCAAGGAAACCTGCTTGGGTGCAAAAAAAAAAAAATCTGTTATAGTCTCTGAAAGCAACATGGTGAAATCTGTTTTACAAGAACATAGACGGAAAGGAGAAATACTTCATTTTTCACTTTGGATCAAACTAGATTTATTAAAGAAACAAATGATTAATCTCATAATCCAATGACATGACAGCTGAGACTACAAATATAATCCTCAGAGGCTTAATGCTGCCCTTTAGAGTTTAGATACTTGAGCATTGTCTATATTAAAAAGAATCCTCAAACTTTGAATTCAGTGAATTACATATGGGCCTTTAAGTTTTATATAAAGTCCAAAGCAAAACACATATTAATAAAAAAAAAAAGAAATAAGAAAGTCTGGACCTTCCAAATAAATTGGCGCCCTGGGCTACTGCCCTGACCAACACATTCTCAAGTCCAGCCCAGACTGCTGGACATGACTTTTGCAGCCTGAGGCTGTGTGCAGAATGAAGCTGTGGCTGAAAGGGTTTCGAGCCTGGACATCCATCCATCAGTGACCTCCAGCTGGAGATCCGTGGTTCTGCCTCTGAGTGAGGCGTCTGTGGGGGGGCTCCACATCCTCCCACCATCTAGCTACCCCCACGGGGCCCACTCCTACTTTTGATGGATATGTTGGTGTCAGTCTGCCGATTCTGCCCCTCGAGGCCTGCAACACTACGTCTACTTACAACAAGTCATGACTGTAAGAAAATGAGGAGTATGATGTTAAGAAAGAAAAAAAATCTCCAACCCCAATTTGAAAAGCCTAAAAGTAATATCTGACAGAACATGCCTGGGGGTTTACAGGAGATTTACTTTGAGTTATGAAAGAGTGAGGAGAAAACTGGGAGATTAGCCTCCCAAAATTGAAGCAGAGATTATAGAAAAATGCAATAAGAACTTTCCCTCCGCTACCTTATAAGACCATGAAGGTGGAAAAATTTAGAGCAGAATTACAGGCTGCTATATGAGGATCTACTGGACTCTAGCAAGACTTTATTATGTCCCAAAAAGACAATAGTTACAGCTAAACGCTCAGCTTTATTGTTTTCCACGAACTGATTTGGGATGTCCAAGCTTGTGCTTCTAGAAGTATGTAACCTTCTAATTACAAAGCTGGAAGGCTGGAATTGGTTCAAAACAGCCTCAGAGGACTCGCTTTTCCCAGCAAACAGAGTGCAGCAGGTAAACGAAGCAGTCGGATTGGGTTTTACGAGTGGGAACGTTCAGATTTGAAAGGTTCTCTTGCTTTCATGAATAGAGAATAAACAACCAAGTTAAATCTACCAAAAAATGATGGAGCGAATGCTACTCTTCGCTCCACCTCGTTTTCAGCCAGTTACTCTCATGGTAACCAAAATGTTAAGAGTTGCTGCAAATTTGAACTCCAAATCTGACTCTAAGTAAGTCCAGCAGAAAAAGGATTAAAAAAAAAAAGAGAGAAGGCTTGTCCAACTGCAGGTTGTGGTGAAGCAGCTGCTCCACTTGGTGTTTCTCTAAACAGTTGAGTGCAAGAGGGAGAGTGTGTGTTGTTACACTCACAGTGAAATCGAAAACTGATACTGACAGTCAGGGGAGGGCATAAATATCCCTGCGCTGAATCTGCTCCAAGATAAATGTGAACACATGTCAGCAGAGTGATGCCTTACAGTATCCCAGCAGGACAAGAAGATCCATAACAGACAGGTGTGTGATGCCCCGCTCATTTCATTTGTGCCGTATGTAGCATTTTGTCCTTTGACTTTTTCACATTTTGTCATTTGCGATGAACCGATATGGAGATTAGTGATGACATCATTCGATATTGTCATTAATACTGGACCAGTTGTATTCGTTAGACCGATACCGATGCGTTAAAAAATGACGAATAATGGCCGATACTATTGTCCTTGCCGATGTGTTGTGCTGCATGACGATGCATCATCACATTACAAACCTAAGCTTCAATTTATTTATTTGGGTTTTTATGCGATAGACCAAACTAAAGCAAAATCGAACCTTCATCTAAATGAAATATTGAGAAAATTTTTAAAATGACACAAGGAAGAAGAAGAGAAAAAAAAACTTTGCCATGTCTCCTGGTTAATTTGGAGCAAATCAGCCAGGTTTGACAAAGGGTAATTATGTCAGATGTTGACGTTATGCATGGCTACAAGAATCAGAAAGTAGTTGCGCACTAGCATAGACCACACGTCTGAAAAATGGAGAGGTTTTCAGGAATGTGTTGGTATTGGGGAAGTTGTCATCATTCTGTCATGCATCTGCGATGTAACATGCTGTTTGAAGATGTAGAGAAACAATGGGAATGCTTATGGTTAGAACACAGGGAACAGCGAGATAAATGTTGGTTATGTCAAAACGTAATCAGTAAATGTGTTTCCATCTTTCCTTTAGTGCGCTAACTTTTAGAAAAGCGAAAAACCGCCTCAAGCAAACCTAAAGATTTCTTTGTAAAATTGGAGAAATTATTTTGAATTTTGTTCTCACCTTTTCTAATGTGATACTTCAAAATGTGCATAAAAAACATTAATGGTCTTTGTGTAATTAACTCGGTTTTGAAGTTAAAAAATTGCATGTTTAGAACTTTATCAGATATGTTCCATACAGAGCAGAGGCTGAACTGTTATCTTATGCTTTTATCATATCAAAGACACTTGTTTGAACATTTTGTGAGAAAAAAAAACATTAGTTCCATCTGTCAAAATGCAGCTGGAGGAAAAGATAAGGCTCTCTAATCTGGAAGGAATAAAGGTCTTATTCATAAACAAATCAATAAAACTTGGCAACCACTTCCACAAATATTGGTAACTAATTGAAGATGGTTTGACTTGATCATTGGTGAGGCAAGTCATTCAATGATACCGTTTGTCAAGAAAAAAATATTAACAATTATAATTTATGAGTATCAGATTAAATGTGGAGGAACATACATGAATACTATGTGTTTACCTATTGTTTTATGTCATATGAAATCTCAATAAAACATTTGTGGTTGGAGTGCGAATACTTTTGCAAGTTGCCATGAACTGAACCTTGACTGAATGGTGCTGGACTTGGAAAGTTTTTCTTTCCCCTCCACTTCATTTTCACCCTGATTATCCGAATCAAATCGGGTCAGCTGGGCGTTTTGGCGCCCAAACCGACAAGAGAGAAAAGGAAGGGAAAGCTTTGTGCAAATCTTGTATCTACTTTCTGTTACCTGTCTCTTGAGGGGGAACTTTGAAAGTTTCTGCACAGGCGGCGTGGGGAGAGTCTTCTGCGTGGTCATTCTCATGCGGCAGAGGAAGACGATGACCACAGCGAAGACGAAGAGCACGCAGCCCGTCAGGTAGATGAGGATGTCGGCGTAGTAGTCGTCTTTGCCCGAGTTCACTGCTTTCGAAGGGAGGAGGCCGAGAAACATCAAAGGCACAGTTTAGCTTTTTATTAGCGGCACAAAACACACCAGAAACTTATTTCTGCGCAATAAAGACTCATGCATCATTTTAATTTCAGAGCTGCGGCAAGTAATTGTAGCCGTTTCTAAAAATGGAGGCAATTAAGAGTTTTTGACATCAAGCGTAAGGAATGTTTTACACTGTCTCTTAGCCTTAGGATGTCTGAACAGATGATTTAAAGTGATCAAAGAGCAGCAGAGGCGTTTAATTTCATGCCTCGTCGTTTCAAATGAAGACATAATAGCACGTGCTAAACAAATTCAAATTGTTGGTAATGATCCACTAAAATACACAATGATCAGATTTACAAACATTGCACACCGCATGAATACTTCTGTAAACATTTGCATGAGAGGAAGATGAAAGAGACAAACAAGAATCAATGAGAGACTGTGTGGTGAAGAGGAATATACCTGGAAGCACCGTCAGCCAAGCGGAGTGGTAAGCAAAGCCGATAGAGTTCCCCGCCAGACAAGTGTACTCGCCCGCATCCTCAAAAGTTACATTGGCCAAGAAGAGAACCTCTAGCTCTTTATCTGTTGTGTTAATACCGGCCGTCTGTGGGGGAGGGAAGGGGAACAGAGATGGAGCAGAAGGATGGAGAGAGGAGATTCCATGAGCCCAAAAGGTTTGATTGAAATCAACACCAAACACTTTGCTGAAGAAGAGCAGAGGGCCCAGGAGTCAGCTTTGCCACCACCAAAAGCTGAAAATACCAAAGAAGCACCGTTACCCAGCTGGGCTAATCTCAATGAAAGTTTTTCTTTAATGTGTGTGTGTATGAATGTGGGGGGTGATGCTAACTTTCAATTAGAAGGACATTTGAAGAAATGTGCATTTCACAGCAGCATTTATTTCTAAAAAGCAGTGGTGGGCACACTTCCTCTTATGCGCTAGTAACAGAACCAATTTTTTGTTTAGTGCTTTAGCTAACTGTGAAAACATTTAGTGCCCTTAGCATTCCCTAAATTAAAGTGCTAATTTGCTTGACTGTTTAGTAAACATTTAGTTGACATTTGTGATGAAGTTTTGGTCATCGGCACACATTGTGAGTATCAACATGGTTGAATGTAGCTCATTAGCATTAGTTTCCGCTGCATACTGTGTTGGTATAGCACTTTGGAGCTAGCAGAACTAATATTTATGATTAGTGTTTTGTGGTTAGCACAAATAACTTTTTAATTTGCACTGCCCACTGCTGGTGGAAGGTAAAGATGCAAGTATCTGTGAGCAGCTGACGATGGAACTTTTAAAGTGATATATTTAACAGGACAAAGTTGTAATAGTGGCTTGTGATTGTAAACTGAGCCACTGAAAACGCTCTCATTGTCCATTCCCCATTCTGCCAGGACTATGACTGCACAGAAATCCCCAAGTTTGCAACCACATTTCATTCATATATAGGAAATATATTTACGGTAGTAATATTGTTGAATTTGAAGCAATTATAACAATCATCACTAAAAGGCCAGTCCTAGTTTTCCAAAGTGCATGAAGGCTATACATCCTACTGCTGTGAGATAACTTTTGGTGTTTTCATTTGGTACAAATTTAGGCGCAATTTTTGAACCTTTAAAAGTGTATTTTGAACAGATGCTTACATGTAACCTAATGTTTATTTACTGGAAAAAGAAACAAAAGGATTCCACCATTTATCTGACTTGTATCTTAATACACCATTTCCATGGTGACATATGGTGGTGGCTGCATCATTCTGTGGGGACAAATACAACTTGTCTATTAAGTAAAAACTTAATAGAAAATGCTGTGTTTTACACAGAAAGATAATCAGTTGTGTACCACTTACTACCTCTATTGTTTTACTGCCTCAATTTACATTCAGATATGTAAAAGAAAATCAATTTTATGTATTTTTAAAATAAAACTTCTCTTCAATAATCTTGAAAACTGCATTATGAATACATAAATAAATAAGAAAACACTTCAATTATTATTTTTTCTACTTTGACTAATGCTACAGCAACAAGGAGCAGTCAAAGTGCCTCAGTAATGAGCGCCGCTATCACAGCCCCGTGCCGCATACTCTGATATAAAAGGCCATTAATATTGCGGGAGAATGCCCTCCATGGGAAATCAATAGCAATCTGTGTGTGCGAGGGAGGCTTGGTCAGTGAGGTTTTAGATTTATGGCACATTTGTGTGTGAGAGTGAGACTTTTGAAGCCATGGCAGCAATTAAGAACGCAATGTTGTGTCTGCTATTGATCAGGGTCAAGATGGCGCTCTGAGTTCAAATGAATGATAGTTACTCACTAGCATGATGTGATTACTTGAACCCAGTAGAGGGATGCATGTGTGCTTGTGTGTGTGTTTTTGTCCTATGAGCAAGTCAAGCAGACCCACAACCAAGAGGAACCCTGCAGGCAGCAGAGAGCGTCAGATGCGGTGAAGGCGGTTCCTGGTAGCAGCTCAGTATTTACCTGGTTTGTGAACCATTAGCCAGAAAGCTTTTTCCGACATGCCTACAAAGTTTGAGGCACGACACCAGTATTTCCCGGCGTCTTTCTCTGTCACGTTGGACAGTTTCAGAATACTGTGAGCCACGGTGTGTTTACTGACATTACTCTGTGAAGGGAAAATTGAGAGCCACAGTGAGGCCTGTGAAAGTCTTGCAAGAACACAGTAGCTGCGTTTTCATTGACCATATAATTGTGCAACTGGACACATCAAAAATAAATTTACTTGGTGGAAACAGGTTGATTTGGAAAAAAACAACAACAATTTCAAATATAAATTGTTTTTGTGAAAGGATGAGGTGGATATTTCACAAAACACTTATTCTCCATCACACGACTCACAACAACTGAATTTTGCCAGTGGCGCAAACTACAAAGAAGCATAAGAAGGCCGGAAGTAGTTGGTTTTTAATGTTTTTATGAACTGTGATTTTAAAAAACTAACACCATCAACTAACTTATTCATATGTGAGTTGCATAGCATTTCTTATTGAATGGAAACGCTGCAATTATGAAATTGCATTTTTTCAAAGTCTGTGACGTCTTCAGTAGCTGCGTTTGCCTCAACCACGAAATTATGAAAATGAATTTACTTAGTGGAAAGGCCGCAAATTAGAAAAAGAAACTCATTTTTCAATAAACGGTTTTGGCAAACGGTGAGATTGTTTTCAGTCGCAATTGGTTTACTTTGCAAAACTGTAATGGAAACACTTTTTTTCTGCATCACAAAATCTACAACTGGATGTTGCCACTGGTAAAAACCACAAAGAAGACGACAGAAAGCAGTTGGAGGATGATGGCGCTGAATGTTTTTCAATTTATGTCAACCTATTCACATGTGATTTTAAATGTGCTTCTTGCTTAATGATAACAGCACAATTGCGAAATTGTGGTGTTTTTTTGTTTTCTTTGACAAAGTTTTGCACACATTTTTAATGGAAACGGAACTACTGTAAAAGAAAGAAAAACAAGAAAACAAACCAGCAGCAGATGAAGAAAGTCTAGCCTTTTTCATTCGTATGTGAGCTGAGTTAACTGAATAGTAGAAATAAAAGTGAATTTCACTTGCAGTCTTAAGAACTGACGTGTGAACATCTCTGGTGTTAAATCTCTTATGCATCTGCGAATGCATACCAACTACTAGCTGCCCTAGATGGGCCTAAATTATTAAACAGCACATAAAAAGGAAAGCAAATCAGATTTTAATGTGGCTAAATGAACATCCAGTGTTTGACTCCTCTTCTTCGCCTCGATGTAAAATCTTTTTCCAGGCACCAAAGATCAGCCCCCCTCAAAAAAACAACAACAAAAAAAAATTAGAGAGAGAAAGAGAGACACTCCTCCCACCCCGAGCTGTGTTTAAATGCCACACATGAGAGAGAGCATATCATGTCTGAATGAGCTGTGGTGAGTCCTCACAGAGAGGCACACACAAGTTTCTGTAAATACTGTTTCAATTATGCGGCGGTCGAAAATAGAGCCTGGAGCCTCAGTCTGAGCCGACGGAGCCGTTCCCCCTCCTCCTCCTCTTCCTCCCTTTCACACTCTGCCTCTCTGCCCATTCATCTCTCCATTTCAGCTTTTTTTTTTTTAAATTAAAGTCATCGAGTTTTTACACACTCTCCCCGAGTCTGCAGGATGATTTATACACTGACATGTCTTACACTGGATTTTTTTCTCTATTAAAATTTAATACAATTAAGTTGCTGTGCTAAAACGGATGGTGAAAGAATAACCAGCTGCAATCATGGTTGAATAAAAGGGAGCATGAAAAGGCCAGGTGGGATAAGCAGCTTGCTAAATAGATGCAGGATGCCAAGCGCTTAAAAACTGTCAGCGGATATTTATTATATGCGTTTGTTTTTGTACCAAAATCAAAATAGAATTAAGACATAAAACCCTCCTAACTTTAATTGTAGCTGTTTTAGGAATAATTGTTTCTCTACCATTTTAAGTGATAGCAATGAAATCATGGTAGAGGTTTTTGCTTAAGATGATAAACATTTATGTTAATACCATGGAAGAACATAATTTTTAACCAATTTCATCCCGTGAGAGCACGTAAAATGCAAAAACAAAGCATTTTAAATAGTAATAAAAGGTGCAATGATCGTATTTTTCTGGCCAATCCTCATTACCGATCTTTAAAAAAAAATTGGCCTCTAAATACAGATTTTTTTTGTCTGAAATGTTGCTACATAAAACAAGAAAGTTGCTGAGCTGGTAACAGTGGATTGACTGTTGTCAAATGTGATCCTGGTGGGCCGGTCTGTCAGTCAAACCTCACACAGCAGAGCAGAAGAGGACAGTGGTTGATCTTTAGACCTTTGCTTAGATAGATATGATTGGCTTCACATGTAATTATTGGTCGATCACAGATCTCCAAAAATGAAGAAAATCGGGGCTGTTCTTCTTCTATGATTCTCCAATTTGCATTATTTGAACTCTTTCTTTTTTCTCTCCAGAGAAGCTACATCTGGTCTGACAGTCCGGCTGTGATTCCTTCAAGGAGCCAACAACTCTCATGCTATTAACTTTTCTTTCAAATAGAACATATTCCCCCATCATTTCTTGTTTTTTGCGTGTCTCTGCTCAGTTTCCTCAAACCTCCAGTCGGTCGTAGCAGACGGTGTCTTGTACTGAACCAGGTTTTGGTTCTGCTGGAGGATTCTTCCTGTTGAAGGGAGGTTTTCCTCTCTACTATCACCACATGAGGGATTGCTGAAAAGTCAACGACCCAACACAAACAATTGTTTACTGTCGTTATACATCTTCAGCAAAGAGTGAATGTGGAAAGTTTAATTTGAAAAATAAACTGATTGAAATGACTTCTCAATTCTCAACTCTTTGAGAATTGCCGCAATGCAAATAAACTGAAGCGAATTGATCAAATTTCATCCCGTCTCTGTCTTGTAGACAAAAACGGTGTGTTGGCAACCTGATGTGCTGCTACAACAAATTCCTTAGAGGAATCGTAGGTGAGACAATTTTTTTGACACATAAGCAGGATAATAGATGACTGCAGCCGAAAAAAGTCTTTTCCATCTTTAGTGTTGCTGTTTTTCTTTTTTCGTGTCGTTGCAGAAAGATGTATGAAGACAGATCCAGGGAAAACAGCCCCATGACCTGCCTTCCCTCTTATTCCTTCCTTCCATTCTCTCCGTTTCTATCTCCGACTCTTTGGTCTTAATATCCCTTTTCTGCCTACTTTCCTTTTGTTTTTTTTCACACAAGCCTTCATCTAACCCCGGCACTCTGTCACACGTTCTCTCTCTCTCTCTCCCTGCTGACTTTGCCCTTCCTTTGGTTCCCCCACTCATTTTTTCCATGGCTTTTTTTGGGTGCCTCTTTGCTCTCTCATTCTCTCCTCCTCCTCAAACCACGCGACGCAGCACATCTGACGGCAGCGGCGGTTAGCTGAGCCCGTCTCCCTCCCTGCGTTTGCCGCCACCACAGCAGTTAACTTAGTCCAAACCAGATGTTTGTTTTTATTCCTTCTCTCCAGAGGGACAAGAAAAGAAAAGAGAAAAAAAAGCTCGAGGGAGCAAAAGCCCTGTTGGTTTGCGACAGGAGTCTTCCCCTCATCAACCAGAAAACATAAAAACAAACAAAACAAACCAATGATTATGGTGGATTCCAGGTGAAGTTGCTTCTTCCAGTAGCTGTTTTCATTAAGCATAAAATTGTGCAACTTGAAAGTGAGAAATCAAATTTGTTTAATGGAAACATGCCAATTTTGAAAAAACTTACATTTGTGCTAAAAAAAAAATAAAATAAAAAGTGACACTATGCTGGAGTGTTTTCTTTTGGCCATATCAACATTGTGTTATTTCACAAAACTGCAATGGAAATACTTTTTTCAGATGTTAAAACTGGTGGAAACATCAAAGAAAATATCAGGAAGTAGCAGGAAGATGATGGTTTGTTTTTGCTTTTTTTTTCTCTCTCTCACAGCATCACAGTTCATAAAAAGTTGTGTCATTCCAAATTAAGCTGATTTATTGCCGCTGGTTTCCTTAATTTTGGGAGAGCGGTGATCGGCTTAAATGCTTACGATCTTATCCACTGATTTTAACAATAGTCACTCCACTGTTAACAACTCAGCAATTTTCATGCTATATTTAGCAACATTTCAGACAAAAAACATGGGTAAACATGGCCTCTGTTATTGACAGGTCAGGCTTTTTAAAGACCGGTAATTGGTGATTGGCCAGAGAACTGCAATTGGTGCACCCCTAATTCCAACATGCTGAGTCCATAGCTCTTCTGTAAAATGGCCGACAACAATTTCCCCAAAACGCTGCATACGCAGCTGCTCCCAAGTGTAAGGGGCTTGTCACTGCAATGCCTGAATGAGACCCCAGCATCTCTTCTGATGGCTGAATTATGAGCATCTCATGTAACTGCCATGATTTTTAATTAAATTTGTTCACATGATTTGAATTTAATTCCTTATTAATTGAATTACTGCAATTGGAAAATAGTTTTTTCCCCCCCCAACATCATCATCATGATATAGGCAAGGATTTGTAATGGAGACACAGCTCGTGATGAATTTATTTCATGGGTGGAAAACTCTTTCAAAATAGCAACAAGATGCTTCATCACACGCCACACTCGCAGTAAGAGCAGAAATCTGCTTTGTTATCATTAGCTTAATGGCTCTACACTTCCACACGCTCCAGTGTGTTGTAACGATGCATCACCGATCGAGAAACGAGCTCTTCAATTAAGAGCGGTCAAGGAAGCCCCATGGCCCCCGTTCTGCAAAGGCTCATTAAACACAACATTTAGAGAAGATTAACTACGTGTAAAATTATCTCGCGCCAAGCCTGGCTCCAGGCTGGCTCATTAAGACGTAAACCCACCACAGTGTGTGGCTCCAAACCCACCTTCAGGACGTTGACGTAGGGGGCGCCGTCGGGGCCGTAGCGGCTGCCATTCACCTCGATGTGTTTGAGCCACTGGATGTGCGGCTGGGCATCGCTGTAAACCTTACAGTGGAACTCCACGTTGCTGCCCACCTCCACTGTCTGATTGGCTGGCAGGCCTGCCTGGAGAATCGGCCGGTGAGGCGAGCGCTCTGAGGGAAGCATAGACGGTAAGATATTATTATTATTTTTTTTTAACCAGATCAGACAAATAAATGATTCCCTGAATATGTATGCGCAATTTAAAATGAATTCTGAGCGCAACAGGAAAGCAGTGGAACGCAGATGAAGCAGGAGTCGAAAGAGCTCTCTTGTTAGAACTAGCTCATAACCTGGCCGCAGAATTTTAAAGGACTTGTAAATGTTTAAGCGAGAGCTTTGTTTAGGCCAGTAAACAAGACTGTAAGCATGAAAAAAACATGAGGAAGTTTGTCTAGTTTATTAGACAGCAAAACAGATCTGAGTTTAGCAATATTCCTCACACTCTAAACAAATGTCAACAAAGTAAGAGCAATTTTACAAATTCCAAAAACTGAACATGTTAGACACACAGAAAATATAGAGGCTTATGGAGGGTTAAACAGGACAAAATTTAATAATAAAATTTTTTTTATTAAATGTAAATTGAAATAAATGAAGGTTTAACTAAATATTTCAATCATTTATTTGATGTAAAATGTATTTATAAAATGTCATTAAATGATTAAACACATACGTACTTAATAAATACATTTCATATTGATTAAATTGAGTATTTAATCAAACATCTATTTACTTCACATTACTTAATAATGTTCTAAATGATTTTATATTGCTGCTAATAATTTTGTGACACATTTTTAAAAAAAGTCCCTATAAAGTCTGTGTCTGCTGAGTTCACATTGTTGTAGGTGGAGCTATGATCTCCGTTTCAGTTTTACTGCAACTTTAATAACTGTCGACACAACAGGCTCAAACTGGTGTTGCTCACAAACACGTACAACTGAATATCATCTGCATAAAACGTAATAAAAAGACTGAATAACAGCGGCTGAAATTTCAAAACAGAAGGATAATCTTTGGCTTTTATGAATTGAAGTGAAAGTAAACGCTTACCTAAAACGTCCAGCTGGTAGGTGTGACTGATGGTGCCGTGCTTGTTCTGCACCACGCAGGTGTAGTTTCCCCGGTCTGACGGCACGGCACTCTCCATCACCAAACTCCACTGCTGGTGTCTCAGCTGAAGATGGAAGGAATGCGTCATTAGTACCAGCACTGTCATGATAACAAATATTGCTGGACGATACAGGATATTGCCAAAAATGACTGCAGATGTCCTGAATCGACAGTAATTATTGCGATACAGTATAATAAGACCGATAAACTCTATTTTCGTAAAGAACACTTCACACTGGACAATATTTTAGTTACCCCAAAATAAAACCAAAAACAATTAATAAAACAGAAATGAAAACCACCAAAATAATAAAATGGATTCTTAAGTTTCTGTAAACTAAATTAGAAATATTAATCTGAATGGAAATCATCCAGCTCATTTAATTTGTCATCCAATTAACTGACTTATTGCGACAGGTTTAATTACAACAAGCTTAAGTTAGAGAACCAAAGTCCATTTGAAAGCATCTAAGGAGATATTGTGATTTTAATAAGCAAAAATGAAACAAGCAAGTGTAAGCATTACAAACTGAACTCCACAATGCCATTGTTTGTTTAACGGTGTACATGTACAACAGAACATCTTCTGCATAAATCCTAATCAAATCACTGAATAACACCAGGTAAGGAACATGCGTAACAAAAAGATATGCACTAGATTTTTCACTTCATTGTGGATCACTCTAATTCTCAAGTTGATAACAAAGCTAAAATTCAGAAACAATGATGGTTAAATTATCGTCATTCATCAACAGAAGCCATTTTCACACTGCCTTACTTTAACAGGTGAGTGTTCAGCAAAGCCAATGTCTGTGAGGGCTGACAGACTTTCTTCTTTTTGCACCTCTGAAATTGGTTCCACTCAAGAGCAATCCATCGCCGGAGACTCGAAAGCTAAATTTTGCGTGGTAATTCAAACCAGGTGAGGCTGGAAGGCATGGCAGACAGATACTAAATTGACAGGCTCAGAAGTCAAAGGGAAGGGAGGGAGTTAGCAGAGGAATGGCTACGCATCGTCAGGCGGCGTCTTTACAGGCCGGCGGGGGCGACCCGCGCCGCTTAACAGGGGGAAACGGGCGTCATAGGGTGAACTTCACTTGAAGAGGTCAGAATTTCTAATGAGTGATGACAACAAGGTGCCTTTTCGGGGTGGAACACTTCACCTCACCTGCACAGGAAAATGTTTTCACAAACACACTTTATGGGGGAAACCAAACAGATATAAGCGTCGCATTTGAAGGCAACAATTCCCTCCCACTGCCCTTTCTTCGTCTTCTTCTTCTTCTTCCCTCTGGAGCACACACTTCTTCACCCTCTCTCTTGGAGGTGCATTCGGAAAATAAAGCAACAGTGTAAATATTATGCCTGAGTGTGCTTTTTTTCATCTTCTTCTTCTTCTCGCAGTTGCGTGGTAACATAAACCAGGCCGCCCGCTCGGCGTTGGCAAATGGTTTTTCTGTGGAATGGCTGGCTCCACCCCGTCTATCCCCTCTCTGAGATGAGGAGTCAAACTCAAGTCAATGGCTGCTCTCATGAGCAGATGAGTGACGCCTTGTGCTGTGGTCGCTGAGGGGAGGGAAAAAAAAAAAAGTTGGTGCACGAGAAGGGAGGAGGCTAAAATGTGGTAAAATATGAGCTGGAGCTGATATTCAGTGAAAGCCAGGACCACCAACAGAACCAGGGAGACTATAATCACAGCTACCCCATACATTTACCACTCTCTCTCTACTTCTGGGACTTTGATGTGCAAACGTTTCATTTCAGATGTTACATTTTTGATGGACTTTGTTAAAAACCTGAACTCGTGTTTTGTTTTTAAATGTGACATTTTATGATGCGTAATGTCCTGCAAAAGAACTACACTTCGGTAACTTTTTACACATTTTGTGTACTTTGTTGAGATTGTAAGTGATAGAGCAAAATACATAAGTTCATAGTGGGCAGTGGTAGGACAGAGTGGGAGGATTTGTTCAAAAATAAGGTTTTTACAAACAAAAACCTGAAAAGTGTTGCTTCCATTTCTATACAGCTCCTTCTTAAGTAAAACCATCCAGTTACATTCACAAGTTCCAGTGGGAACCTTTTTGTCTGTGCGTTTCTGGTAGGCCTGTAAATCTGACGTACAAGCAATATCTGCAACGGTGGACAACAGAGCCGCTTCTCTTCATCCACTGCGGGTTCATTTCTCCTTCAGAAAATTGTTCTGATTGGACACTGGAAAAGACAACTGTTGTGTTCAAGTTGTGCTAAAAGCAGTTAGCCTGTCAGCAAAGCTATTCAGACCTAAAATAGCATCTCAATGCTAGACATGTAGCAGCAGCACAGACATCCCCAGGGCTAATGTCAGCATCCACATTCCACATTTCTAAAGAAATCAATCATCAATGATCAGGAGTTCCTGAAACACTGGAAAGGTTGAGTAGAATGACACTTTGCACCAACCTGATGATTGAATAACCTAAATAACGACAAATATCTGTGTTGTTGAGCTGCAATATCAATTTATTCAATAATGGGATTGATGGATCTCTTGTAATGACTCAAGTGAATGCCCCACATTTTAGATATTCTTTTGTAAAAAATTTTAAAATATCCTTGTCCTGGTGGCTATGACATAAAATTTCCTCCCAAAATGCTAAGAAAGTTTGCCATGGTGAGACACTCTATCCAGCTCTCGCTTTTTGAAATTGAATTTCTGCTGTTGATTAAATATGAACTCTCAGTGACTTTGAGCGTTAACATTCCTCCACCTTTCATTGGTCACTTTAATTATTTTCTACACGCGGGCCGTCGGCTTTTATTAACATGTTACACTGGCTAACCCCTGGTGAACCTGTAGCATTAGTCCCCAAAAGTGATAATCCCATCCATTTCAATCATGCCAGATTCCAAGCAGAATTAAATTATTAAGCAGCTTATGTTCCAGTCATACAAGGCTTTAAAGGTTTTAGGGGCTTTGGCCGCGGCTGTACGGAGCAGCGCCAGCCATGGGAATGGATGGGAGGGTTCACACCACAAGGAACCACCTGCATTGAAAGAAGACAAAACGAGAGATGCACCGATCCCACATTAACACCTACACCAGTACCGATACTGGAAGAATATTCTAGATTGGGTATCTGTAACTGTACAAAATCCAGTCTAATTCTATGCTTTGTGATCTGAGCAACGTCTTGGTTTATTTTTGTGTCACTTTTAGAATTCCTAATTGCACTTTCTGAACAATTTGAAAGAATGTTTGTTGAAGTTAATTTTTTACATATTTGACCAAACTAGTCAACTTATTGTTTTTGTCAGTTTCAGTTTCTTTATTATTTATTTTCCATTGGCTATTCTACTCCTAATTGCACTGACTGAACAAATTAGTTTTTTTTTTGTTATGTTTGACCAAGATAGTGGATTTCAGTGAGGTGTAATGATACATTTGTAATCCAGTACATTAATGTCTCTTTAAAAAAAGAAACATTTGTAATCAGTTCAGTTGAGCCGTTTTTCTGTATGTAATCGGCTGACACTAAACCTCAAGTTGGTATCAGAAGTGGATAGAAGTGAATTTGTGCATTCTGAGACAAAGATATTGTAGTTTCTGGTACAGAGGGAAGACATTGGAGTACAATTAGGTTAGCTCATTCCAGCAGCTGGCTATTTCATGCTGGGGTGTAGTGATACAATAATCTCCTGATACTATACAATATGCAATATTCCGATTCGATGCACTTTACAATTTTCTGAAAGATTTTAGAAGGACAGAGTGATTTTGGTGACAATTTGTGTTTCATAGACTTGGATGTAATTTACTGAAAACTGATTAAAAGCACCAACTACACAATACCTGACTCCAGACAGAGTAACGGTCTACAGCTGGACAAAATGAATCATGAATGAAGAGAGGAAAATAGTTTCTCTCATTTAATTTATGTGGATTTGACATAAAACTCAAAGTTTCAACAGTGATCCAGGAGCTGAGTGGGGAAATTATCAGCCTCTGTAGACTCTCAATATACTGTACTTATGTTTTTCTTTTGGACATACTGTGGCTGCATTTTGGAGCCATTTTGGTGGTGCAGTAGTTGTTTGAGAAAACACAGGAAGCACAGTTCCCCTTCATAGTCCAAACCCTCTGTCTTCACCTCGCAAAATAGCCCTGTCAGAACAAGTGGGGGCCAGTTAGCAGAATTTATGAGTGTGTCAGAGCGGACCAGCGGCCCGGATCCGCGCTACCGTCTAATTTGACCCGCAGAGAGGGCGGAAGCAGGAAGACGCGGCCCTTCAGGGCTCGCTATTAAAATCGGGGAAAGTTTTGTTCGTCTGCTGCCTGACTTTGGCTCAGCTTGACGCTTGCACCAACGACAACGAGGATGAGGTCGTAAAACAGGATGTGTGAAAGCGACAAAGTCAAACCCCGTTAACGGCGAGTCCTGCCTTTCAAAGCCATAGTGTGTTTTAATGATAATAATAAAAATAAATAAAAAAAACAGGTGAGGAAAGTGAGCGTTGCGGCTATGGGAGGTCTAAAATTAGATGAGGAGTTGAGGGTGGAAAAAAATGGGTCTAAAAATAATCTCGCAAGCGTAGAAATTCTAGTGGAGGCTGTGCTAAAAACTGTAGTGGAAACTGGAGGATTTTGAAGTGCTTAAAGTCTTAAAAAGTAACAGCGGAGGCAGATTAAAAGCCTTTGCTTTGGAAAGCTGTCAAAACAGAGGGTGAATTCTGGATGGAAGAAGGAAAAAAAACCCCCAACTAATAACACCGTCAGCAACACAATGAAACCCCCAAACAGCAGCTTTATGTGTTGGAAGAGAAAAGACGGCTGAATGGGCTGATGGCACGCCTATCTCCTGCCATGTCCATCTGACAGCTCAATAGAGGGTTAAACTTTGACCTTCAGGCCCTGGCCTTGGAGAACTCCACAGTTGTCTGGGAAGCAGAGCAGAGATGGAATCTGAGTTTTAACAAATGACATAAGAACTTTATGTAGTTTACTGTTTAGTTCTCTATAAACCCTGAAAGTACCTGAGATTAACTTAAATGCCTGTAAAGACACGCTGAGAGTGGGAGACAAAAAAAAAAAAGTATGCTTCAGAGCAAAACGTGGACCTGGTGGATGAGGAACAACAGGTTATTCTGGAGTAGTACTTTCTTCTGAAAGAGGCAAATAACCATTTGACAACAACGCTGTCAGCATTTTTCCCTAAAAAATTGTATAGCTCCCGCTGAGCTGGCCAATTTACCCGTAAAAGTTTTTTCAGCAGCTTTTTAAGCATCTCCTGTTGTTGCTTTTGAACTCTGTGGAAAAAAAGGAGTCTGGGTATCAAGTTTCTACTTTTTCTTTTTAGATGTTGTTCTCATTGACTAAACTTTCCCAATACAGTACTTTTTTTTTATATCTTCAAATTCAAAAATACTTTGATCTCAAGGAGAAATTAAATGTTGTTGTAACTCATATTAATTCAAGTTTCTTTAGAAAGTGATAGTAGATGGCTTCTTTTCAAGAGGTGCTATTATTGCTGAGCCATGCATTCACAGCCATTTTAATCTCACAATGGAGCTGACAATCTGGCAGTGAGCGAGCTGCTATCCGACTGAAATTATGCCTGCTCGCTAACAGTCTGATGGCCTTCCATCAAAAAACTTTGATTGTCCAAAGCAGGCCCAACCGCCTGAAGTAGCTAGGAATAAGTCAAACAGAACTGGGACCATGATTAGAACTACGCCACGGGTCGGTTAGCTGCTCCTTAAACACGCGCCTCACATGAAGAGCAAAGCGGTCCTCAAAACCAGCATGGCCGAGATTCATTCAGCTAAAATTACCCCTGGCTGTCAGCACCAAGATGATGTTGTCAAGTCAGAATGGATGCAGCAGGAAGATGGCTTCACCGTCAGGACCCTGATGGGAAAAGAGTCTTTAGAATGTCATTGTTGTGGTGACAGAGCTGAAGCCCCGCCCCCCTGTGGCTTCTGCACCCCCCACATGAACCCATCACCTCCACATGGAAGACGGGGTGATACAGGGTGATACGGGGTGACGGAACGCTGTCCGCATCTGTCCTTCGCTCACGCTGACGTGGTGACAATTCAATCTGGGCTGATCTGTTTGAAATACTTCATGTCTTTATTTCTGTTTATTCATCCATTTACATAATTGAAAGCTGCGGAAGCGTCTAGCTGGCAGAGCTCAGAAAGAAATTCCAAGAGAATTTCTCGAGTTAAAGAAAGAAAATATTTCTTTATGACAACAAAGCTCATCGTTATAAAGAGAAACCTTCTCGTTTTTACCAGGTATTTAAAAAACATGCTCTTCTGCCAGACTGCAACTTGTTAGAAGGTATAAAGACACCCAGTTTCCTCCAGACGGCTTCTAAAAATCCCAAGAAGTGTTGATGTTTTAACGTTAACGATCGTTCATATTTAAAAGGGAAGATATTTTGATTCTGACGAGATATGAATCTCTGTATAATGTGTTTTGCATCTCATTATGATGAGAAAGTTTTCTCTTTTAAATGAGGCACTGCTCCTGAACTAATTTCCAAACTCTGGCAGTTAAATGCTTCCATAGGAATAAAATTGCACTGATAGATAAAATTTCTAATTAGGTGACTTCTGAATGTAATTGGTGGTTTTTATTTAGAGGTACTGCAGTAAATTGGGGGAGTTGGGTTGACTGAATCAAGATTTATTTTTGTAAAAATATAGTTTCACTGATAATTATTGAAACAATATTTAATCGGCATAAATTTATATTTAAAAGTCTTGAAAAGAAATATTTTTTTGACTGGTTAACAACTTTGATTTGCAAAAGGCTGGAAGATTTAACAAAATAAATAATGTTAACCAACCATTTTTACAGAAATTTCATTGAATCAGACTTCAGGTCTAGAGACTACAGACAACAATACTGGTATTGCTTAAATACCAGTATAATGAGCTGTGCAGTGGGAAAAAAATATCTATAAAAAATTTGGATGACAAGAAAAATCAAGTGTTGTTAATATCAAAGACACTAAAATGCAGAGAAAATAGAGATATTAATGAGGCGGTGATGTCCTCAGAGGTCTGAAATTCGGATGAGTTCAAGCTGTTACGCCTGACGACCCGTGTCACACTGGTCTGTCAGCCAGTGCCATGACCTCTCCTTTCACCTCTGCGAGGGCAAATGCTGCCCGCATGGTGATCACTAACTGGATCCTAAAACAGTTCTGGGACAGAAGGGAGGGGTGGTGCACGTAAATATCACTCAATAAAGACACATGGGAAAACGTCTTCATTAACCAGCACAGACATAAAGGAACATGGTCCACTTTTTCTGCCTTGTTCAATAAGAGAGGAGCATCTTAATAAGTCATCAATCACCCCTGAAGATCTAAATTTAAATTACGGCTAAGTAGAAGTAAAGCAGCTTTAATATACCAGATATAATAGTAGGTAAGTGAGTACTTAAATGTAAAAATCAATGTGTTAATACGCTAAAGTTAGCGTATTAACACGTTGATGTTGTGTCATAATGTGCAATTTCTTTTGGAAAAATCTTTAGACCAGAAAGCTTAGGCTTTTCAGAATCAAACTAGAATTTTGATGTCATTTCCAAGTTATCACCACCTGCTGGAGCAGTGGAGGTATTACAAAGTTGTTACTAAAACAAGCAAACAAACAAAAAAAAACCGAGGTAATTAATGAAAATTGTTCTCAATTCACATGAAATACTCAAATATTTTCTTAAATAGAACTGATGTAAATTTTTCCCAAAGAAGGACTTTCACAGGAGTTTAATGAAGAAGTTAAAGATCGGACAAACAGGTGGAATAAACATGTACTCTGAGCAGTCAGTTGGGGATTAATCTGCTGCTAACAACGTGGAACCTACCTTATCATCAGCAAATCATCATGTACACTACAGACGCTAAAAGCTGCTGTCGGGGAGCCACTTCAGTCCAAGTTTGGGTGTCCTGAGGGCTGCTGACAGGTGTGTGTGGTGTGTGTGTGTGTGTGTGTGTGTGTGTGTGTGTGTGTGTGTGTGTGTGTGTGTGTGTGTGTGGTGTGTGTGTGTGGGTGTGTGAGGTGGGGGGGAATGGATAGATAGAAGAACAGAGAGTGGGGACAGAGCGAGGGAGACAACTGCTGTTGGTCTGCTGGGAGCAGATGTTGGAAATCTCTGTAAACTGTTAATAGCTGCAGGATCTCATTACATTTAACTCTTTAAAGGCCAAAGTTCCACTTGGGAAGAAATATGTTTCAGTGTTTCTCCGCTGAGATATTAGAAGACGGTAATTTACAACCACAAAGTGATGTTTTAGTGCCAGTTTTCCTGTGATATTCTTCAAAACAAAGATTTATTTGGTGTAAAACAAAATTAAAAAATGATTCTTTTACAGTATTATTTTCACAAGTGATTAAATAATGCCTTCAACAATCAAAATCTGCTGTAAAGATTATTCAATAGAGCACAAAGTAAGAGTAACGCTGACCATTGAATATGTTTAGGAGAACTTTCAAACTGAATACCAGTGAGTTCCAATATTACTGTACATATTTAGTTATTAGTTATTAGCTAAACAAACCTAAGACTGTGACAGAGATCTCAGCTTCAAGTGAGTCTGATGACAAAACTGAACACAGCAGCTGTTTGCTGCAGTGCTTCACTATCAGCCCTGGACTATCATGCAAGCATGCATGTGTCTGGTTTCAGGACTGCAGTTTGACCCCCCACCACCACTATTAAACTTATTTTGGTCGTTAGTTGGTAGAGCATGCCTCTGTGGCGTCTTTCACGACATTTATACACCGTGAGAAGATCCGCCAGGCACGGCGTTCTTTCACCACTCAAGGTTTACGCTCCTTTAATTACGGAAACTCACGGACCAATCCCGGCACTAACCCTATGGATGGATGGACAGCGGCGTAGCTATCCTCACAGGGGATTAACATGCCTTGCTCGGGGACACTCTGGCAGCACCTTAAGGGGTGGAGATTGCGATCTCCGCCTGTCAGAGTTCCGAGTGTGATGGTTTGAATCTAAAAATCTCCTGAACTCCTCTACCCTTTTAGGTGTCAACATGCTCTTCCTCTCACCTTGATGCCTCCCATTCTCTGCTCGCCCTTGAACTCCTTGCCATTCTTGAGCCAGTGGATGGTTGGCATCGGGTTTCCGTCGGCAGCACAGCGGAACTTGACGGTGTTGGCTGCGGGGACGGCCAGGAGCTTCTTGTCCATCCGTTCGGGCTTGGTCCAAAAAGGAGCTTCTGTGGGTTCAAACACAAAATATTGTTACAGACAATAAAGGAATTCGCACAGAGCTCAAAGGATTTAAGAGACAAATGCTCAACGGGCCCGGCGGTCGTTTTCTGCTCCTGTTTTCTTTAGTATTCTTAGATCATATAACATTTTGAGAAAAGACCCTTTGGGAATGTACACATACATGTTACTATAATTGCAAAAAGATGGTGCAGAGGAGAAAGCTAGTTCTCCTGCTCTGTCCTGAAAGTGATGCAGCTTGGATGAGTTATGCACTCTGCCAGAAACAAATGGGAGATTCTGGATTCCAAAAGATCCTCCGACACAACAATGTAAAGAGCAGGAAACATGAGTTGGCTCCTCTACGTTTAGGCTTTGCTTTTGCAAATGTGGACACGTATATGTGCAAAGGTAGTCACACCTAGCCTAGGGGCAACCAGTCCATTGTTCTGAGCATCACTTCGTCCAGATTATCAGCTATTGAGAAACGATTGTTTCCTGGAGGCATGGACTCTGTCAAAGTCTGAAACGATTTCACTCAAACTCTAACGTTTAGTCATGACATTTGTAATACGCCAACTTGATGAAATTTACTAGCAATTGTGTGTGCTGTAAACGACTTAGAGATGGGAATCCAGCGAAATTGGGTAGGAGGACAATGGCCAAACATACAGCTACAAACTTCAATGCATTTTATTGGGATTTAATATGATAGAGCAGGCACTCTCGCTTCCAATTTGACTGACCTGTTCCTCAATATGAAAAACGGTCATAAGTTGCTGTTGGAAGCTTACAGGCACCTGCGGACAAAATTCTAATTCAATCCTGTTTTTATCCAATTTCAAGCCCTGCTTGGTTTACAAAGGGATGTTGTTCAGTTCATAACGGCGTCGCAGAGAAAAACGCGGCTTGACAGAAATTGAAAAAGCATTAGAAGCGGAGCCTGAAGCTCTCCGACGGTCCGAACAAAACTTATCATCTCCTTTGCCTCCGAAACAATGCGAGGGTTCATCTGAATTGCGCGATCTTGGGAGTTTGAAAACCTGTCAGGGTCGATTTATTGAGTTGTATTGAGGAGACGCTGGACAAAGGGAGTGCAGCCAGTCAGACGAGCTCTTTGTCCCATCTGTGAGGATGAGGAGGGTGAGAGCACTGAGGCATGGTACGCTCACTCTCTTTACTGGTCTCTGTGTGTGTGTTTCCCTGGACAAAAGCTGGGGAGGTGGCTGACCGGTCATCAGATGTCTCTTTTACTTTTCCAAACTCCGGAGGGGAGAGAGGAGCTAATTACCATCTGAATGCCAGGACTTCTGTCTGTGTGTAAGCTCCATCACGCATGGATGAGATAATAATTAAAAAGTAATCCAAACCGCCCGGCCCCCCCACCCTACAACAGCCGAAGTAACGGTTTCTTACTTCAGGTAATCACTGCTGAATTACGATCTCGACGTCAGATCTGCTACATGTGCTCTTATCACGATGCCTGCGGTGTTCTGATGCATTTCTGACACACAGTATTTTGGCTCCCGCTTTCAAAAACTGGCATCGGTTTCACAGAGTAATTGCAACCAGACTGAGGGAGATATTCAGTGTTGAGAGATGCAGACGTATCCTCTGAGAAAGCAAACAGAAACTTCCTAAAAACCTATCAGACAGACAGTAATTGAGCAGGTGAGCATGGAGCGCAGGCTTCCACCGTCCTCAGCTTGGAAAGACAAACACTCTCCCCACATCCAAGCCCTCGCACACCATCTCCACCTCCACCTCCAAATGAAGAATCGCTGAGGCTTCCTGACTCCCCCACTCGCCCTCCGATCCCCATGTAGCATTAGCGACTCGTCACTCCCTCTCAGTGTGGGACAACCCTCTAAGGAGTCTGAACACATTGTTTTCTTGGCATTGCAGTAAGCCACACACACTCAGTCCAAAAAAAGAAAAGTAACACACACACACACACGCACACGCCCCCCCCCCCCCCCGCCCCCCCCCCACACACACACACAGGGTTTTTAAACAGTCGCTTTCCCAATGTGTGGTCCTTCTGCTTCTGAACTTATCTGAGCCTGAAAACGCTTTCCTGCTTTCGGTCCCTCAGCCACAATGATTTCTCTAACCCCAGAATAGATGGGGACTCAATATGTTGGAGGAGTCACCATGGTTTTCTACCCAAGTTTGGTGTTTTTTCTCTTCTAACATCTTGTTCAATCATTGAGATGCTCCTTATTGTAATCGAATTTCAGTCCAACTACAACATCTGCGAGGATTTTTCCCAAACAATGTCTTGCTCTGATAGTGATATACAGACAATAAAAACTGCAGAGTTGCACCAAGGATTTGACCGGCGTTACCGCTACTGTCAGATTTCCAGCTTGAGCAGGCCTCGATGTCCGATAAATGGAAGTCTTAAAACGGATCTTTTTCAGTTAATTGAACACGGCATCACAAAGAGCTTCCAGGTCACGTTGACAGCAACATTCTTTGGCGTTTACGATGGTTCTGAGCATAGAAACTTCAATTTCCTGTAAAAGTTGGACCTGCTGTTTGTGATTGTGATCCATCTTGGACTAATGCATACAAGATTATGCAGTCAGATCTAATAAGATGGCCCTTATTTTTGCATTAAATTCATACTTTCCTAAGTTTTATTTAGGAAAGAAGTTGGTGCATTTTTAGAGTCTTTTATTTCGTGTTTCTGATGCATTTAATAAAACTGAGAAAGTAGAATCAGATTTTTCAGTCTTTGAGAAGTGAATTATCCGATTCAAATCTCTTCCCGACTGATTGGTGCGTCTTTGTTTAAAAGAGAACTGTCACGTGAACTGTTCATTTAGAGTGGATGAGAGAGCAAGAGTTTCTCTCTTCCAACCTCTGAGTGTCACCGAACAGTCCAGGACTGATGATCAAGGGTTCTCTCCAAAACCTGGTTTGTTTGGGGAAGTGTGATGCTGTAATCGAACTCTGATGCGGACCAAAAAGGGAAACTCTGGTTTGCCTACAAACCCAGGTCTTAGTTCATCTCTGCTGCTGATATAAATAATTAATGACAACTGCCAGAAGGCTAGAAAACAAATTTCTGTGGTTCTTATATTTTTCTGATAGTGTTTAATTCAGAATCAGATGAAATCGGCATAGACTAAATATGACAAATTGGTCACAGCATAATGATTCGGGCATCTTAACGTGAAAGAAGCAAAAATATAAAAATAAAGGTGAAACATAAGAGAGGACAGTTGAAGCTATAAATTATATCACCACGCCAATATAGCAAAGGGTAATTTGTCTGAATTTAGATTCAGAAGGTGCAGCAGCAAAAACATAAAGCCTTCCGTCACTTTAAAAGTAGCAGGCAGTAGCTGTTCTGATTGCAATATGACTTTTCTTTCAAACTGCAGTCCGGCTCCATGTGCTCTGCTACACACAGGAATTCTACCCCATATCTAATTGGCAGGATGGTATTTCCTCAGCAGAGGCAGGATTTTCATGGGGGGGGGGATGAGGAGGGGGGGGAGGGGGGGGGTTTGGCACCTCCAAAGAGGCACACAGTCCACAGAACCCTTTCCTGCCTGGATATTTGCTGTAGTGGAAACTCTTCCACTGTAACAGAGTGATTCAGCCATGCCACTGCAGAGATGTGTCCACCTGACAGCTGCGGAGTGGAGAAAACGCTCCCAGTGCCTAAAGCTGCACCACTTGCCTCCAGCTTGTTTGATAACTTATTCCAAAGCGTGATGGAGGAAATCACTGAACACAGAAGGAAGAAAGGCCAGTCAGTGGGAGGAGCAAGGATTTACTGCTCGATTACAGGGTAATATTGCTCTGATTTGACAGGAAAGTACAGAAATATTAGAGTTTCTTCCGTATAAAAATACATGAGCAAAATTGCTTTTAAAACAACGGTGAACGCAACTCCCTGTGTTGAAACATAGGGATGGCAGAATCATTATGTGGGGACACATTGCAACATAAAAACAGAAAAGCTGTACATCTTTTTCCTCCCGAATTTGTGCTCAAGTTTCTGTTGGTTTACCAAATAAAAAGTAAATAAAAACGTTTATATTTGTGAGGGATGCATCGATTCACTTTTTTCCGCTTTTGATACTGAGGAAGATTTCTAAGGTTTAGTATCGGCCGATACGATCTGATGAAAAAAAACAGCTGGATAGACTTAAAAGATTTCTTTTTTCAAATGCAAACATAAATGCGCTGAATTACAAGTGTATTTGCTGACTCTGTCCTAGAAACACACATTACACTACCAGCAGCTTCATGAGCTTGGTCAAAAAAAAAAAAAAAAATTTCACTTGTTCAGTCAGTGTAATTAGGATAAATAAATAAATTGACAAAAACAACAGATAAACTATTTTGGTCAAATATATATAAATAAACTGTAACAAACCTTTTAAATAGTTCAAAAAGTGCAAATAGGAATATAATATAAAATATATAACACATCTCAGAGCACAAAGCATAGAATTAGACTGAACAGATCTGCCCTAAAATATTGGGAACATTGTCACCGATACATTATTTATTATTTTCAATATTGGGACTGATACAGATATTAATATGTACCATAATTTGAACGACATCAAAAGGCGTGAAGAGGTTAGTTAGATCCGATCTTTTGTTTTTTCTTCTAATGCTGCTCCACATGCAGGAGAGCAGTTTTTACATGAGTAGAAATAAACTAGAGGTTAGTGGAGTGTGCAGCCCCAGCAGGGTTATGCACTCTGTGAGCGTTTTCTTTTAAGCCCTGCTGTTCCCACTGCTCTGCCCTCTCCGACCCCAAACCCCTGCTTCCATGTCTGACTTCCGGCTCTGTGCTGCGTGACTGCATTACTTCTGTCTACCGGACTTGAGCGTGGCGGCAATTAGACGGGGCAGGATGCGGAGGGCGGCCGGCGGCCGGGGCGCGAGGCCCGCCGGCGCTGACACGCCGCACGGGCTGAAGTTGAAGAGGGTGTTTTAATTGCGTAATTGTATAATTTGCCCTCGCTGACGCCTGCGA